TTACACAGGCTGAGACAGAAATGGCCGCACTGCAGCAAAAAAGTTTAGCAAACCAAAATTCAAGTGACCATAGTAAGTTTCATAAAAGTTATAAGTTGACTTTTTAACTGGAATATGTTGGAGAATTTATCAAGGTTTGATGGTGAAAATAGTAAATGCATGTTCAATATTCTTGATTTTTGCCTATTTCTAAACAATATCGACATGTCGCAAAACACAAAAATTGAGCCATGATGATTGAAGTACCTGTGAAACATTTGCAATAAAAAGTTCATCTTTGCACTAATTTGTGATATCTTGTTACAATGAACTAGGGGGTACTTACTTTATGCTTCGATATCTAGAACTGCTCATTTTCCTCACTTTTGTTGGAGAATCTGCTAAATGTTTTGGTAGGAAATTTTTGAAGCCACAATGGGCCTAATCGCAGCGGCCGCTTTGTGATATATTGCAGCAAAATTCAATCAATAAAATGTGTCTCAAATCGTGAAGTCTATCTTTTCCAACCAATTTCCATTTTGTAATGGGAACAAATATTGCTGCAAATTGCGTAAAACAACATTTCGCCCTCTCATTAAATGATAATACCAAAATTCCCCTGATAAACAGGTTCACTAAAGTGCCTCAATAGCTGTAAATAAGTAGGCTTAATAAAATGGCTTAAAACATGCCACTTTCCACCAAATACAAGGCCATTTATGATCAACTTGGTACTTCAACACCCTAAATGTCATCTTGCAAATGTTTTTTCTGAACTTGTCATGTCGCGATTAACAGTACCTGTTACAAAACTTTTTAACAAACTTCTAGCAAGTCTCATAAAGGTTTCAAAGCTGGGAGACTGTCCAATAAAAAGTTAAAAAAATTTATTTTTTAGAATGTAACTTTTTTCAATTTCTAAATTAAAAGTGTTGTCAATGGTTTGAAGTTTGGTTTGATTAGATTTTAACCATAAAAAGACTCATGGCTTCACAAAAGTGGTTTGAATTTCGATCGCTTTGTTGTTGACAATGCCGTCACCATTACTGAATTGTCAAACCTGTGCAATACTTTTGCTCTCTCTAATTCTAGAACACAAGACTTTACTTAAAGGAATATAAATGTTTGGGGAAACCTAGGACCTGACACAAGTGATAAGGTCCTTGCTCATATGACAAGGTCTTGGTGTATACCTACATACTTTAGCGCATCCTGCCAAAACGTCTGCAACAGATTGCTTAGTATCTTTCTGAACTGAACAGAGCTGAACTTAACTATCAGGCTCTGTTTCTAATACAGTGTTGTGCTACCAGTTTATTAACTATATTTAAAATTGAAGAAACAGAGGCCCTTTTCTAACCACAAAGAATGTAAATTAGCTACGGATGAACTGTTATTTGCTTCGATTCCAGCAAAGAAAGTAGGTTTGAGCACTTCTCAGCTTTCCAAGTCTGGGAAGAACTAATCAAAGCAGTAGTGCAACAGTTTTAAATCAGGTTTGTTTCGTGTCACCAATACCTGTGATTTTGTATCCAAAACTGGCTAACTGTCCAGCCATATATTCGCTGTCACTGTTATTATGAGAACATCCCCATGTTTTGACATATATCTTTTGCGTTCCCGGAATGATACTGTCTGCTACTGGACGCGTGTCTTTCTGCAGTGATTTAGTAACTTTCCCAAGCCTCTTTGCCTTCGGAGGTACATACTTCCTGCCATTTTCCCTTACAGGTCCTTCTATATTTAAAGTCTTTGTAATATCCTCTATGTCATCAATATTTTGAGTGTCACAAGTGACTACCATGCCGACAAATTGATACAGGACAATTGACAAGTCGTAGCCTGTCTTTGTTGTTCTCAAATCGAAACAGTCAATCGAAAACACAAAAATCTGTTGAAACAGTACTCTAGATTCACTGAAACGGATAAATTATTCTTTCAAGAACAATAGTGACTTTGTCTCCTGCTCTGACTTCTGATGATTACATGTAAATTGCGGATTAATCATGCTTCAATATCACAACGACAACATGAGGTTGGCAGCCATTTCTGTCGCGGTGGTGCAGCCTCTACCAGGATAATGGTTCAAAGTGAGGCTGCGTTGATCTTCAACGTTAAAAGCTGGCTTCCATGCTTTTGAAAATCTGAATTTTCTTACGTAATTTTGCAAAACACAGAATCGATGTAGTATAACCAATAACTTCTGAATGTTAAATTTTTCATTCCTGCTAAATAATGTGGAATATTCAACCATAACGTTTTAGCTCGATTAACTTTTGTTGGGTGTTTAAAATGTGGCTTTGAAGAAGAGTTGTACCATTAAAATGGACACAACAGTGAACAAACCGAAGAATGGGTAAGAGAGTAATCAAGAGTGAGGAAAGAGAAAAACCCATTGAAGAAAGTAAACAAGCATAGTATTGTCAATACCATCAGTGCACGCAAATTGCCGACAGCAACAAGATCAAATCGAAGAAGAACAAGCAGGAGAGGCAGACGAAGAAGCACATATCAGCAAATGGCAGAGGGTAATGCGCTAAATAAAATGCCCAAACAATGACTACCTTAAAATAGACTGAACTGAATTTCCATAATGAAAGCTGGAGACTTTGAACCAAAGAATGAAAATAGAAAGCCGTACATTATAATGTTGATCTTCTATGGCTTAATGATCTATGATGTGAGGTCTACTGTGCAATAGAGCTTCGTTCCGATAATTTCTCTACAAATATCGTAGCAAAAGTATTTCTTTAGACATGTTACAATGCTGAAACAACTGGGTAACGTTTAAGCATAAAATGGCAATTTGTTTCTGCAAGGATACAAAGACAATGCGAAATACTATATCTAGAAATCAGAGGTGGTGGAATTGCCACGAGAATTTTTGATCATTGCTTCCACGAACGTTTGGTAAAAATCATTTTGCACTGCTCTATGTAGTCGATGTGTCAGTAAGATCTAAAGTGTTTATCAGAAAGATATTTAAGCCTTTGTTTCGCTTGAAGAGAAAGCAATGAGCATAAATCATGAAGATAAAAACGCAAAAAAAAGATTTGTAAAATTTGAATTCAAGCCATTTTAGTTTTATATACCATACACATTCACTTTCAGGTACAAAGCAAAACAAACACTTATACCTAATTTTTCAATGTTTTTACAGCAATAGCTTGGTTTTTCGCTATCTTTAAAAGTGAAAGTTTAACAATGTTTTAAATATGAGCTACACGATTAGTTTTATTTTAACGCAGTGCAATAACGGATTGATCAAATAGTGTAAAAGGTTACCTATCTGGTTGAGATAACGTGCAAAAACTATAGAGGGCGAAAAATACACACATATCAACAATCCCTCCATTGACTTGCATCCAAACCGAACATAAAGTGCGCTAAAATAAGTTGCAATTGGAACTTTGTCGACTAACGAGGGACAAATTACACAAACTCCTATAAGTTTGAAGAAAATACATTTGTGGGCAATATTGTGTTGAAACTTTCTCACATGTGATTTTGTGAAACAGTATGGTAAATATAACGTCAGCCAATAGGTAAAGGATTCAGCGTAATAGCAATGTAATTGTATGGGACAAATATACACTTGTCCATTCAAAGGATTCAATTTGCGTTGAAACGATTATGGTTTCTAATAAACCCTTTAAATGTACCATTGTTTTTCAGTTTTCCATAACAGCAAAGTCACAGATTACTATTCCCTAAAGCAGTTATTAAATGCTACTAGTTCTTGAACTATCAACCTTACCAACAGGAAGCTAAAAACTCTACTTATCTAAGTTATACGTGACAACTGAAACATCCTTATAAGAAAAATATACACAAACTCGATTAAATGCTAATATATCTAAAAGCTAATAGGAGAATCTATAACATGCAATGATATAAGAAAAGAGCATCGCGGCCTTTTTGAGAAGAGTAGCCTCGATATAACGCTAAGAGGTCGTTGCTTATGTCACCCGTAGTAGGAATATAAAGTTATTGACCTGTGGCTTTGGTTTTTCTGAGTTTTTGTTCGACTACTAGAAAACTATAATTGAAATTTTCTTCAACATTAAACATCTAATTATAAATCATTGCTGTTTACATTTCTCTTTGTCTTTTGCTGACTTATCTTTCGACTGTTTTCTTCTCGTATTCTGAATGAGTGGTTCTGGCTTCGAATTAGAAGACACCCGAATTCCGCTATCCCCTATGACCCATATCCGGTCATCTGCTCCGGGTGCTTCTTCTTTTACGTCACCCCGGAAAGTCGGGTCAATACTAGCAGCAACATTAGAGAAACGTTGGTTACCAATTTCTTCGCCTGGCCCTTCATCTCGAACGCGAGACGCTACTTGTGATGTACGATCCTTCGACTTAAACGAATTCCTCTGTGAAGGAGTGCCATGTCCTTGTATTCTTTCATCTTCTAACTTATCTGGAAGTCTCCTATTCTCATTACAGTCTCGCTGAGTTATCTTGTTCGGTTCCGTTCCACTCTCTGCCAAGATAATCTCTGGGTCGATGACTTCATAAACCGGTTCGTGTTTTGTTTTAGATGCTCCCAAATTAACTTTTTGCCTACTTTCCAAATTGCTATCCTTTTGAGACGTTGATCCGTTTTTAGAGTTTTTGGTGCTGGCAACTTCAACATTGTAAACAGGCCTTTCATAATAATGAAGAGATGGATCACACTTGTCATTTTTCTGGAGGTGATGATCATGATGATCACTGTTTTCTCTTCGTTTCTCCCTTTGCGTTTCACTTCTCGATTCTTGATCTTCTGCCGAAGTGGCCTAAATTATCAAAGCAATCATAAAGTAAACAATACTTTGAATTTTGAAACAGCAGTTTTACAAACAACGCTTGACAAGGAAAAATGCGACTGTGATACTAGTTCCAGTTGATATTCACTATCAACCAATTTCAAGTAGAGAACATTAACATCATCATAAACATTCATAAAAAGATTAACTTGAAGGTAATTACAACGACGTTTAGAATTAGATTGAAACTTCAAGTCTTAACTGATGCTACAAACTGATTGGGTTTGTCTTAGTTGCATTTAATAACTTTCTTCAAATAATAAGAACTGATTGTAATTGAAAATAAATTTTCTTAGCGCAATGAGCAACATGTGAAACAAATTGTGGCTGAAAACCCTGAAATCTCACCCCTTTACTACTAACTCCATTCTCCGGTTCCCTGTATACTCGAAATCACAAAACATAATGATTACTCCTTGAAGCTTCTTAACACTAACTCAGCACTCCTTAACCGGCCTGTGGAGGAGTGTCCAATGACGCGTCAGCTTTTCACGCTTTGGTGTATAGACCAGGACCGCTATAAATCATGCCTTGTGTTCAAGGTTTGATGCTAACAAAATCAGGCAACTAGCAACCAAACTTAAATGAATCAGATACGTACATCCGCTGATTGCTCTCGGATAGACGATGCCTTCCTCGCTTGCCTTTCGGCGCGCTCTCGTCGATATTCTTCAGTTTCTTGCTTCTGCATCTTCAGTGCAAGTCGCTAAAAACGGAAGACAGTGCATAAAAAGATCTTCAAAGTAATTGGAAGGCACATCTGGGCAATGAAAGGCTTTTGTTACGTATAACAGGATAAGGAATCAAAACAACATTAAATATTAAAAGAAGATTACGATTTTGTTCTCTCGTACTAAATATGGTCTATTGTTTAAAAGAAATTTCCTGCTGCAAACGATATGAACTTAACTGATTGATATGAAATTGTAAGATTGCAGGTTGAAATGGGCCGGTGACAGCGAGAAAATCTAATAGATCGACAAGAAAGACATTTAACAAAATCCCTAAACAGTCTGATTAATCAACAATCGGGTTACGTTGTAAATAAAAACTACCTTGTAAAAGTTTACTGAAAGGATAAAAAACAGTCTTATCATCTGCATGCCAACAAAACATAAAAAGAGATAGAAACAAAAGAACCTTGTTTCGTCGAAAGATATTTTTTGAATTGGGGAGGAGGCAAAAAATTGGCAAAAAGTGACTATTTTACAATGTTGAAATGAAAAAGGAGCAAAACTGACACAAGAAAATTATTGGGTAAAAGCCCGAGTCTCTCTTGTCTATTGCCCTTAATAATACAGGTTTTCTATGTAACAAATAATAGTTACCCGATCACGTTCCTCCATTAACTTTCGCAACTGAAATTGATAAGGATAATGTTTGGTCAAACTATTCAACGTGACAAGAACTCATTCAGACAATTTTTTACGACACAAGATTAAGTTATATCTTTCTTTTCTCTAGAAAGATCGTCAATTCGAGCATAAATTTTGACGAAACGAAATTTTCAACGCAATTGTTATGACTATAAATATTTTTGTTGATTTTTCAAAGCCATGGCAATGTCGTATTTTCAAAGATATACTTTCTGATAACCGCGGGACACCGCAGAAGGCCGCAGGAGTGAAAGACACTAGTCAAACTTAAACAAAAACTCAACTTGATACAGGTTCTGACGTCATGTCGAACGACTTTGACAAAGGTGGTAAAGATTGAATAAGATTTCAGAGATATGAAAAGATTTCAATGGCATATGACAGGGTTATGGTCACCCATCTAACACATGATTCTTAGAGAGCATGGATAAATGACGTCATTCACATAAAATTTTCGTTCAAAGATAAATATTCAAAAAACAGCATTCAAAAAATAGTATGGAAATGTATTGGTCATCAAATCTAAGACTTTTCTTGAATTATAAATATATAAGTCCAAACAACCAAAAACATGACTGTGAGATGGCACTTGTCTATCTTTTGTGGGCATGCTTTAAAATTGTCCAGCCAAATGGCATGATTTAAAGTACTCAGCCATGTAAAATAACTTGATTTCAAGATTAACTACTTATTGCTTAATTCAAACTATGGATATACAGCAAAAAATAGTGATTTAATAGCTATACCAGGGCTTCAGGGAAAATCTCAAGCAGAAGCTATCAATCAAGTTCTGCTTTCACTGCAAATTTCATCTAGATTTATTCGTCTCTTTCAGACACCGAAGTAGGGTCTAAAGCGATTTCTTGCGTTTACTTCTGTATGCGAACGATGATTCTGATAGAAACAAAAACAATATCACGAAAACGTGTTGAGTTGATTTGACAAACCTTTTCTTGCTCTCGTTGTTGAAGCCGCCTTGCGAGTTCCTGAGAAAAGATATCGAGCACTTTAAATTCAAAATCTTCCCATGATCTCATCACAAATGATGGTTTTAGTTAACTGATCTTGAAAAGATTGGCTTCAAGACTCCAGACATTGTAATCTAACCATCTGACAATATAGAGATAATTCAATTGAAACAGTTCAACCCGATTGTCTTTTGCCAGAATAGAATAGCATTAATAATCCAAGATCGAGAATCAATTATGGTTTTCCTGTGATGGTCCTTGAATGCATACGGACCAAATGACGACATTTCCAGAGGTCTGAATTTTTTTCCATAGAAATTTTTTATCAAGAATGCGTAGATCACACGCTTGAAGCCCGGATTCGATGATAACGATCATCGAATTCTCGGAGCTTCTTTATGTCATCAAGCCAGCCATAGGTTGGAAGAGCCAATGCACTGGAACCTAGCCAGTTGGCGGCTCTCTCAAAAAAAACAAATCTAGCTAAAAATTAGGAGTTATAAAACTTACATTGCTGATGAAACGTAACTTTGAGCTACTTAGATTTGCTTGAAATATGTTTCGAAAGATTCATTACAGTGTTCATTGCTTGAAACATGTTCGATGAAGTCATTTTCTTAGTAAACAAAAAATTGGGTCAAACGGGAATAGCTGCTTTAAAATAGGCCGCTAGTAATTAATTAATTGTTCCTTTTGCATGTGTAGGCCTATTTGCATGGATAACCTTGCTATGAACGATATATATCTGCAGATTGGTTGGAAAAATGTTAACCCTCACTTGGAGAATTCGGATTGATACATATTTCAATAAAAACGCAGAGACTTTGGAAATGTTCTATTGCATTATTATTATAAGCGCAATATATGCTTCCCTCCTCTAGCCTTACCAAGGTGCAGAGACATTCGCTCGCGTAAGTAGCAAGACATAAACACAACGATACCTCATCTTCCAGCTCTTGCTGCCTGTTTTTTTCCCCTGCTGCGTGTTCATCCTCAACTTCGTAACTGCGAAGGTCACTCCATGTTTCATCATCCTTTTTTATCGAGACACGCTGAACAGGCGCATCTCCCTCAGCAGACGCTGTTGAATGTGCTTTTCGCGAGCCGGAATGCGGAAAGCCTAAATTCAAAAAGTTTCATCAATTTATTTAGTAGTTTTTTAAGAGAGTGAACAGGCACTACACAAGAAAAGCAGTTAGAACAGACAAATGAATAGGTCCAAATGACATCATGTCATTCAATAAAAAGTGTAATGCCTCTATCTGAAGCATAGTTAGAATTTATATAAACATCAATTTGTATCCTTTACTTCGATGAGGACAACAGAAATAACGTATTTTCTGTTATAGTAATTGAAATTGGACTAAAAAGAGGCATGAGGAAGATCCATCAAGATAGAGAAACTGCAATATATTACAATGTATTATAGTCCAAAGGCTCTGGAAATAATTATTATACTGGATTGCTTCATATTGAAAGCAATAGAAGAAAAAATATCCGCAGCTATTGATGATTTTAGTTCTTTTGCCAACTTACTTTAACAAGATATTATTATCTCTAAATGATGTGGTTTTTCGTTTACAGATAGTGTGCCGTTTCTGTAGACTTGGTTAGTTAATGTCCATTGTCGAAAATATCCCATTGTGCAAATGACGTAGACATGTTTTGAAAATTGAGACCATTCCTAAGAATATCGTCATTTTGGTTGTCATGTAACCAATATAATTTTCCAGATATCGGCGAGTATAATAAATCTCATATTTGCGGGCTGGAAACTAGCAATGGTTGCTCTCTTGAGCTTCATTGACCAGGTCAGTAGCAAAACTATTCATCTCAAATGCTTTAGCGAAACAACGCAAATGATTAAACCGAATAAACTATGGGGTGATCAAATGCTACAAAATTAAGGAGCACAACTATGGAATAATCTCCCAAAGCCCAAAGAAAAAAAATTTTACCTTACCGCTGAGAAAACATATGCTGTCAAAATGTTAGAATTATGAAATGAAAGAAAAATGACACGTAATCCACATGCTATAATATCTTGTTCCAGATAAAAAAGTATTTAACCAAACTTGTTTCTGTCATTGTATATTACTGTTATGTTTTTAAGTATATCTTTTGCTAACGGGCCAAGCTAGATAAGTAAATGCTTTTTCTTGGGTCATGTATATTACAGTATTAATAGTCTTCTGTAGCATACGAACAAAATTGAATTGAATTGAATTGAATTAAGTATCCACCACCTGAAGACTAGGAAAGTGTTTGACTTAACCAACTTTTATACAAATGTCCACGATAGATGTATAAGAGACATCATCCCAGTAGCGTCATAACGTACCATTAAACAATCGATAAATTTCTATCTCCATGATAAGGAAAGAATATTCATTCTTCTAAACACTTTGAGCGTGTTTCCAGACCCAGATAAATCAGATATAAAAGCAGATCTGCTTATAAAATCACAACAATAGTACAAGTTTAAAGACTTGCAAGTGACATTGAAAAACTCTTAGCTTTGTATAAACAATGTATAAACAATCCAGCTGAAGAATATTATGCCTTTGAACAGAAAGCAGAAGTAGATATATTTTTCACTTGGACACTTGATAAGTTTAAGTTTGACTTGTTTAAACACCTTATTAAAAAACACTGTACAATAGTTTGAGTTCTCTGCAGCGATACTGAAAAGACTTTGAAGGATCTTTCGTTAATATTTCATTTATCCAATAACGTATCCATTCATAATGTCATGAATGGTTTTACTTAGTATTTGCATATCAAAAATAATCCATAGTAAAACCAAATTTTCAAGCTTATAAGCTTGAGAGCACACGCAGCTGTTAACAGTTTGGGGGTTTTCGCTTGAGTACCTTTATCCCCTCCTTCTGACGCCAATTTGTTTTCAAGGCCTATTGTTATAAGCATCATATTTTGACTTGCAAATACACAAGGAAGAAGCAGGCGCACAAATTGTTAAGGAAAGATCGTTTCCTTCTCGTTTCCTTTGATGCTCGGATCCAAAAGGCAATTGATCTTAGCAAATAGAAGGGGATATTACATTTCCGTTTCCTTCATATATTCATAACTAGCTACAAATCAAAGGTATACAAGTACAAGCAATAAAAAACCCACCGTATTCTTTGGTGCTTGGACCTTCCTCTGCTTCTCCTCCCCGTTCTCTTTCGATTCGCGATAGCTCCTTCCTCTCGCGTTCAATTCTATTTCTAAGTCTTCTCGCCCGTTCACGCTTCACTTTCTCCTTTTCCCTTTCTTGAAGAAACATTGCATATTCCTGACGATCAAATTGGCAAAATTCAGCATGAAGTTACTGCATAAATAGTCATCATAACATCATATAAATGTTCCTTGACTCATTCGCAAATAAATGCCTGATTTTCTCTACCAATAGACTTTTTCATCAAGCTAGTAAACAAAGACTAGATGAAGGCAAAAAGGCAAATAGAATCACAGATTTGATAACTTTGCACCTTAATAGTAACAATAATTAATCTTTAAATCTTTAACAATTTCTAAGCAACAAAATTACAATACAATGTGTCAATTTTATACCTCATCTTGCATTTCATTGACGCTTCTCTGCTGTGATTCCAGGTTTTCCTACAACAAATTAGCAATTCATTACAATATTTCCCACAACATGCTAACATAACTTTTTCTGCGTCCAAAAAATGGCGTGACTTTCTGTCGATTGTTGAGATATTGCCAGATTTCCTGATTTCTTTTCCACTTTTCACATCAGCTCTCAAACTCGAATGTCGTAACCACCAAAAACTCTCTTTAAAAGTAAAAGGATACGAAATCCTTTAAGCTACAATGTGGTGGTTTAACCAGACATTACATTGAGAAAAGGTTATGCTCATATTTATTGGCTGAGCCACGAAAAATTAGCGTTGATTAAAATTTCAGAAAAAATTGTCATATTTAGCTATATAACAGCGAATTTTAATTTGAGGCTTCCTGTTTGGGGTTAAAACACGTAATTAGACTGTTGGGACAATTTTTGGGGATAAAATAGGGAACACTTTTAAACGTCACTATGAATAAAAGTTTCTGAAGTAATCAAAATATTTGGGTACAATTTATGGAGAATTTAGGGGGAAATTATGGACAAAAAACATTTTATGGATCAATAAATGTTTAACAGGACAAATTATGGACAACAATTTTTACTGTGTAGCGTCCAAAGAAGCAACGTCTTTGCAAATATTGCATAAAAAAAATTGAAACTCAAATAAGTAGACAGATGGGTGGGTAATTGTAGAACAACAGTTACTGCTTTTCAACAGCAGTACCAAAGATAGGACCTCTTCTCAAAAGTTGATTCTTTCAATTTGTCCAAATTTGAGAACCAACATATACACATATTTTACTATCTATTTTAAAGTGGTGTTGTATCATATGTTCAGCCTCTGCACAGCTGGAACATCTATTTCCTTCGTGGGAAATGCAAATTAGTAGAAAACTTTGAAACAAGTACAAGGCCACAAATATAAAGTAAGGCCACAAATATAAAGTAAATAGCAACAAAGGTAAAAAAGTAACAAGCCTCTTCATCTAGCCTCTGTTGGAGTTCACTAGCTAGCCAAGCATCATCAGCAGCACTTGAGTAAGAAAACAATTTCATTATAGTTCAATGCAATGGATGAATAAAGAGGTTAAAAAGAAAATGTTAGATAAATACAAAGCCTTTAAAAAGATATTGGGAAATTTCTGGCCTTCATTGAAAACAAATAAATCCATTAAGCAGCAAGTAGCAATAGATAATTTATGGGAAGTAACTTTTGCAGGATGAAACTTCTGCATTTCTTGAGTTTTTGCCTAAAATTGCAAAAGTTTGATCCTTAAAACTTCCTGAAATACGAAATTTGTGTAAGTTCATTCTCATTAAATATTTAGAAAATTTTGTTATTGACCCAACTGGAAAATTTAATGACGAATGATTGTTTCTATAAATCTGAATACTGTTTTTGTTGTTTGTTTGGATGAAGTGGAAAGAAAGTAGGGAAACCTTCATATACCAGAATGTTTTTCATGTGCCAAAGTTTATTCTCAGAAAGGATCATATTTCACTACTTTTGTGATAGTTAATTCCAAAAATCTTGAACCTTTTCAAAATTCGCAAGACTTTCTTCCTGTTAAACTTTTTTCTCTTTAAGTTCATTTTTCATCCTGCTAAATGAGTAGCACAAACTAATTAAATTGCAAATGAACCCAATAAAGTTTTGAATAGTAAGGCTGCTTGATATTTTTACACCACTCACAGGCTAAACAGCTTGATTCTTCTGTTCGATTTCTAAATTTTTAGATCTTTTATATTTTGGCTCTAAATGATCTTTTTTCAAAATGGTGTCTTGAACATGAAAAGACATCAAGAACAATTCAGATGGCAGTCTTGCCTAGGATTCATACAATGGTTACCAACAAGATAATGAAATTTCAAAAATTGACTTTAATTTTTTTCTAATTTGCTTTCAGATTGAAATTTTAATGAGAAACAACAATCATTTGAGCATAAATTATTTAACCCAAGCTCTTTATAACTGGTGGATTAAACTTGCAAACTGCCAGGTAGTCTGATTAAGGCTTATCTTTCTCTTCAAAGAGTCTAGGCTTATGAACTTTATTGACATTACCATTTGATTTTAATCAATCATCATAGTCAGAGCTTCATCTTTTGCATAGTGCTCTATTCTCATCTATTTGAGATGAGTGGCAAATGTCTTTTTGGCAAATTGGATTTTGCATTTCAATCACTTATAAGCGCCATGATACTTGCGATGTTTTTGGGGCATTTATTATTTTCATGATGCAAATGTCACCCAGGAAAAATCAACAATGATCTCTCCATTTCACATGACACTTTGAACAATGCCTGCAAATTCCTAAGGTGCCCTTGTAATACTTTCAATATAATATGGTTGTTAAGACTTACAGCCTTTGATACTCATATTCTCTAAGAAGGCCTGCTTGTTTCACTTCCTCCAGGTATGCATTTTTTGCAGCCTTCACATCAACTCTTGCAGTCCCACGCTCTTCTCTGTTTTTCAGGTAATGAGTCTGAACTAAAATTCCAAATTAAAAAATTTAAAAAAAATAATTAATATTTTAAACAGGTATAATGAAGTGAGGTCAAGGTAACTAAATTTGATGCAACAGAAATTAATTTCTTGATTTGAGCTATCACTCAAGGAATGCCTCTCAAAACAAAACATGAACCAAATAAGGAGGACTAGAATTTGAAAAACTACAAGACCACTTCTGACTGAATGGGCACTTGGGGAGAGAACCTCCTTGTTATTCCAACAGCATGGATCAGAAAGTTTGGTGTTACACTCTTTGCGTCTCAAACATTTCTCTCGACTTGCCCTAGCAAGGAAGCTGTTCTCATAATGAAATGATAATTTGAATTCTTGCTTTACATTTTAGAACATGGTAAATTTGGAACACACTCTCGATTGAGCCATAAAAACCTCTAATCTAATTGCTGGCATCTTTAAGAAATAACTCATAGGGCAAATTGTAGTCAGCATTGGAGCACAGCCAAGCAGACTCATGTATAGGATGTGAAAGCACTGATCAACATGTGAAACAATAAGCTTAACCTACCATCCAGTTTTACATTGTCTATTTTTAATATTGCATTTACAGGTATTGTCTTCCACAACAAAAATTGATGGTGCATCACTAACAAAACACCAGGACCTATGTCCCTCTGAATTTTACATCATAATTAATTGAAATTAATAGCGTAATTATCATAAAATTAAAGCATGGTCTTTTATTCCTGGTGATTCTTTTAATATTGATGCATTATAAAGGAACAAATTTTATCACTTTGTTAACTAGTTGCAGTTACAGCAAAAAAACATACATTCTTCATCCTGTAACCTTTGTGCTAAGGCCTCATCCTCTCTTGTCATAAAATCTTGACAAACTGAAAATGGAAAAGAAAAAAATTATTAACATATCACAAGAAAAGATACAAATGGATGAATGTAATGGCATTGCTTGACCTTCCAGCCTAGGGGGTGGAGGGTCAGTAATAGAAAAATTTACCAACGAAGACAAAGATTGAAAAAACATTTAGCTACTATTTCACCTACTGATAAATGATTTTGCCAACAAACTAAGGGTTTTGTAGATAAACTGAAAATATACTGACAAATTCATGAAGTGTTGGGGGATGTTACACCCCCTACACCCCCTGTTAGATACGCCACTGGATGAATGCAATTTCAAATTTGACATTTGATAAGACATTTGTGTTCTTGTTTACACATTCCAATGAGTTTGGATTCAAGGATTGCCAGAGGCTCGCCAGTAGATAAGATGTCAGAGATCTCTGGCATAAAATAGGCAGTTTCCACACTAGGGTATGGCACTTTAGTATCATGGTTTGTAACTAGTTGGCTATTTCTTCTATTTTGTGATGATTTATTTTAACACCCTGCAATGGAAAATACATAAAAACTGGCTAAGAAGGCACATAAGAAAATATTGTGCAGTTGTTCATGGTTTCATTTATGAATGTTTTGAACTTTTTCTTCATTCAAGTGGCAGCTTCAATTTGGTTATTTAACGGGGAGGGAAAAGGCCAAGGAAATCTAAGAAAAGGCATCTTTATAGGAATCTTTGTAATACATTTTTATGATGAGAAAGATGTAAGAAAATAACTCTAAAGAGTATATATCATATCTTCTTAACTGACTGAACTCTAAACGGGTTTCTTTTGCGAATTTCATACACCAAACATTGCAGGTTTTTAAATTCAAGAGACTTGTTTAAGTTAATATTCCAAAACAATGGAAATGATGTCAAACAGAAATGTGGCTTTAGCAAGAAACGATGGCATGATTTGAGCTTAGCGAGAACTTTTTATCGTGAACTATGAATTGTTTCAATTTGTAGATAGCCTATTATGACATGCAGCCTACATTTGAACCGGTAGACGCAAAGCATACAAAACAATAAAAGAGTACATAGGTAGTTAGGCCTATTTCGCAGTGTATAGAATTTGAGTGTCGACAAATTGTACACCAATCTTACCGTCTTTAACTTTCTTGCTTCCTTCTCTTGAGATCTCAGTAGTCGCCATTCTATTTAATGTCTAATTTTCTATTAACACTTTCAATTTTAACCGATGTGTTGTTAAGTTTTGTTTACGAAAATGCATCCAAATGCTTGCCAGTTTAACAGTACAGGCAGGCTCTCAACTACACATCTGTGTTAAGTACGTTGTTGTCTAATCCGACATTAACAAAGTAGTGTTAAAATTTGCCGCTGATTGAAATAATTTGATATTTCCGCTTAATCCTCAATTCAAGGAATTCCAACATTGGCCACATCCCGACAATTTCCATACATATGCAAACATGATTCAAAATTAATGACCAATGGAAACATACGGAAGTACTTCACGTAATGTACATGAACATAACAATAGCATGTAATGTGCAACTTGTCAACAGTGTTACACCCATACTTGATTTGGAATGACACGACTAAAAATCACAACTGACAACTAAAAATGTTTATTAGTGGGTAGAGGATTGGGGGGTTTGAAAGCTGGACATGATAGATCAATACACAGTACACTCATTTTTTTATAAGAAACAAAGGTCGATGTTGAGTACTCCAGTTTCCTAATGTTCTGGGAATTTCAATACTCATTGTTTCTTAAGAGTTTCTTAATTATGATGTCATGAATGATGTTATGAAATGTTCATGACCTTTTCTTATCACGTCAAGAGATTCACTTCCGTTCTGACGCTGTATTTAGACGTGGGAAGTATATTACTACCCCTTGTGTCTTAATTTCTAGGCCATCGGGGCAATCATGTTTTTAGATTTTACAAAATTTCGTTGTTCTCAGTTTTATCACGATTCAATAGTTTCTTAATTATTTTGCTTCGAGTACTGAAGTTTCTTAATTTTTCATAACTGTCCAGTACTCTTTTCTTCTAAGCAGCTTATTATAAAAAAACGAGTGTATTAGCTTGATCTATCATCTACTTGCTTATTTCTATTGAACTTTTAAAAACAGTCTGGTTCAGAGAAGATCTCATTAACTATAAAAATAGATAGGATTACTTCTAGGGTAATAAAAAACTAAGCTAACCAAGTTATAAAATACATCATATCATTAAACAAGATGAAGCACCTAGAAAAAGAACTAAAATGGTTCCCAGTCAATGAGAACTGCTACTAATCCAAAATTGCGTTAGAGTAAACCTTCAAAAATATCTTCTAGTCTATTTTTGCAAAATAGTGGGTGGGCTATAGCCCCTGTTAGCCCAATGGCTGCGCGGTGCCTGTACTGGAGAGCATGTTTCTGTAGCAAGTAAAGTTGTCTCCAATAACTTGCCTAGCTTAGATAAGCCTAAAAAAGCTTGGAGAGCATGGTTCTTCCTCGAGTAAATAAGGAGTTTAATATAAAAGGGCTTATTCAATTTGAGAGGATTGAAGTCTCTAAGAAGAGGAGAGAAAGGGAATGAAAAATGTTGAAAGGATAAAGTTTTAACATACTTATATTGCAGTTTTAAGATTGGTTCTATATATGATGTAACCCTTATTCTTTAGCATAATACCTTTAACTGTATTGGAAATATTTGAAGTGATTAAGTTGTTGGGGAGTCCAAGATAGATTATTACAATTTTTTTCCAAGACATCATGATCTTGCTGAAAAAGGTGGGGGATTTAAGCCCCTTGTTCAACCCCGGGGTTTACTTCCATTAAGGCCTGACAGGGGGTCCAGTCGATGTGAGGGTCTTACCAAATGGCCCAGTTTCGATAATAACACAACGGCTTGCGATTTATTATAGGAAACGAACAAAAAAATTTTTCTCCGAATCAACAACAGTCGATGGCGAAGGACAAGGTGCGCACAAAGAAATAGATTCTACCAAGGACATAATTTTGGTCCTTATGCTACCATTTGAGGGTTATTTTCAAAGAAGACTACCATTTGAGGGTAATCTTTTAACATTTAGCTTTGGCACTCTTTGACTCTGGCTGAACCCCATGTCAGGCCATAATGGGAGTACCCCTCCCCTGGGGCTGAACCCCATGAAGCCAGGGCCACCGAGAGTCAGCTTGGGCCCCGAGCCTAAAATTAATGTGGACTGTAGATATGATTACCATATTACTGTCTTGGAAATGGATTTTTCACAGCTCTTCAAGCAAGGGCTTGGGCTTGCTCTCCAGAACTTTACTTGAAGTGAGTACATGCCCCTTTTCAGACCCCTCGACCCAGTCCTTTTTGAGCGAACGAGCTGTGGAGCACATGTAGATATAAAAAAGATATAAATAAAGAATCGATCAAAACAGTGTCGGTGTGAGCCAATGTTTCTTTTTTCCCAGCTGAGTGCAAGCTAGATTTCGGGCCGGAAAAATTGGGAAGAGAGGAACCAAGGAAAGTATATACAGCAGTCTAAGTAATATCTATCCGGCCGATTGCCAAGCATTGCAGAAGAAAAGACCTGTGTTTTTAGAGGACCGTGGCTAGGCCTTCTGGAGTAGAATTTTCGACAGGTGATCAAGGGAGGCTGGTCAGGGCAACTTTTCAAGATGGTGGAATCTTTGCGAGAGCGGGAAGTGCTTTATAAACTCATAATAAGGTATGAATGCTGACTCAAGCTAATTAAAGGAATATTAACATGTAATCATCTGCAAAAGTGATGTATTGTTGTGTTGTAAATGCAAAATGATACGGTAAATGGGGAACCTCTGACATTTAAGGATTTGTCCAAACCTTCAATCTATCCACTAAAATCATTAATTGATTTATAGAAAGAGTTTTATGGATACTTTAAATCAAGCATAAAGAGGATTTTTAATGATTCACAACAGTTGAAACACTGGCATTGGGAAAATTGTTGTTTTGTTGTATTTTTACAACCAACAATTACCATTCAAACAGCGTAATGGGTTGGTTCTTGTTGCCATTTCTTAAATGTTTCCAAAAATCGAAAATTTGCGATAATTTTTCCATGAAAAATGCAATTTTCTAAAAACAATTAGAGCTGGCACCATAAAGCTGGCACCCAAATCGGGAACTTAGTTGGGCACCCGCTTTATATTGCTCACGCAAACATCTGCATGCTTTTACCTATTGGACGTGCAAAATCCCTAGATAATAACATTTAACATTGTTAATGCTAAAAAATAACTAACATTGTTTAATTTCAGGCACTCAGTCTCAAATTTTCAGAGTAAACTTGTCCATGCAAGAGACAAAGTGTCCAGTCTGGGCTGGCACAATATGCCCTTGTATACTGCCAATTGTTATTAGAACCTGGACTAATTTCTGTCTTAACTTGAAATCTATAATTCTATCCCTTCTCCCAATGGCATACCCTTATATTTACTATAGTGGTGCATATTTGGGCATTATTGCTCCCAGCTCAACTGCTTCTGCTCACAGGATGCAGCTGTGGTTGCAGCTGCGCATTGGCAAAATCATACATGTTTTCCAGCCAGATGAGACTGTATAATAAGTCAAAGCAAATGAATAAATGTTGAGCTTCCAGCAGATGTATTTTTTTCAACTCCTAAATTTTTTGATTTCCCCATAGCCAGTTACGATATGATGGCCTTGATATGGTAGCTGCAAATTTAGCAAAGTGTGTTGGACTGGAAACAACTCCCCTTTCTCCATCATCAAGGCTCCTTGGACTAATGAAGCTAGGTCTTCAGGAAGAAAAGAATGGTAGGGAAGTTTATTTGTGCATGTAATTGATGTAATGTTTATAAGCAATGCCAATTACTCGAAGGACTGTCTAATGTCACTGAGCGAATGCCATTAATTTCTGTCAATTGGCTATCTCCTGTTGTATTAAATACCAGCCTTGCTGAGAATATCACAAAATCTCACTGGTATGACTTTGGCACAAGCTTTAACTTCCATTCATGTTTGAAAGTTAACATTAATAACTCTTAAGGGGAAACCCATGACATTTGGTTCCCACATTCAATATAATTTATCTCACTTTCAAGCCCTCTTGCCCTCTTTTTCCTTGGAAAGTTTTGTTGATCTATTCTAGCTCTCTTTTCTTTGTCTGATTTCCTGAATGTACTTCCTTGAATCATTCTCTTCACATAAATATGCTTTAGAATTATGCCCTCTTTCTAATTATACCTTGTCACCTTCTTGTTTTCAATCTATGAATATATTTAGGTTTTGATTAAACATTGTTTTCAAGCCCATATTACCATGGGTACACATATGATTGTGATCATTGTACTATTGAAAATTCCCATTTCTTAATAAATTTGACGATAAGATATATTGACTATCATATGCTTTATCTTAACTAGGAATTGTTCCTGATATGGAAACACCTCCTGGATTAGTACCACCAATTCCACCAGCAAGAGGACTGGATCTAGAGTATGAAACAGAAGGTATGCTCATTCTAAAGTTTATTATGGTCTAATTGTGGTGCTTTAAGACGGAATTTATTATTTAGACAAAACACTGTGTTTGTTCTATATTTTTGTAAATATAGAAGAGGAAAACAATATTTGTTTAATATACTGTGCCGTGGTCAACAGATCATGGCAATACATGCAGTTTTATTTAGCTCTTAACAAGCTTTTTGAGATAACTTGCAATTCATATTCTGAATTATATCTGAATGATAAAATGTGATTTCCAAATAATGCAGAATGATATACAACATGAAATAATAGAGCCGGGAAAGTGATGATATTATATAACTCTATTTTTAGAACTTGTTAATTTTGACCAAAGAGGCAGTAAGAATTTAGTGAAATACCCCTCTCCCCTAAAAGTGCAAAATCAGTTCAATATCCTACAATTTTCTTGATTTATTGTGAGCAAAAGTTTTGGAATTGTCCAACATATTTTTAGAGCCAGGGCCAAAGTGTTTTGATGGTGAAAAAACCTGTACTCACAGGGTCATATCACAGGCAATTTTTCACATATCTTACCGATTTTGCACATAGGTTTTTATGGTGCTCTTCCTGCCATCTATTGAAATTCTAAAGATGTACTTTTTAACACCATGACTTGCCTACTTTATAAGACAGTGATATAACTGGCATGTTCTAATTCATTATTAGGATTTCATATATTTTAACATTGGGATATTGCTTCATCACTGATGCATGAATTTGTTCACGAGTGTATGTCACTATTTGGATGACAAATCTAGTATTGACATAGCATGGAATATTTTGTGTTTAGTTTTAGTTGTTGTAATGTCTACATAAGGTATAGATTAGTTACAATTTGATCAGTGAAACCCAATGGTTTTTTTCACCAACTAAGTAAGGTCGAAATGGATGTGTTTTTAGCTGCATTGCAAACTTTCTAGTTTGTGTTATTTAAAAGCTAAAGTATATAGTGAAATCATTCCCATCTAGATTGAATTTTAGGACAAATATTCAGCAACCTAGCTTCATGTGGTGAGGTTTTTTCTATTGAAGCTGAAATAAGCTAGAATATCTCAAATTGAATTTTTTGATAATTTTTTGTCGTGAATTGTAACCAATTATAAATATGTTGAAAAATAATAAGAACATAAATATTATTACCTACCAAGTACTATTTCGATTCTTAAAGTTTATAGTACTTTTTTCTGTTTGTATTGAATCGAATTTAACCCGCAATATACTGAATTAAGATAGAAGAACCAGACCCAGATTTTGTAGACTAGGATGCTCTAAAGTCATTCTACAAGAATCACTATATTTCATTCCAATTATTTGTTAAAATCCTTGGTTAAGTTAGCTAAATCTAAAAACCAGGAAGAAATTGAAAGTAATGTATTTTCACTATTATGCTTGTCTTCTGAGCTGTATGCTCAATTGAGAAATTGAAATAGCACATGGCCTAGGCATTGTGATAAATGTCTAAGAAAAGTTTGAATCTGTTCTCACATCCATTTCGATCTTACTTTGTAGGATCAGCAACTGTACGACAAGAAAACCGTACACTTGACTCAAATAGCTTGTATACTGGGATTTGTAACAAAGAAGTGTTTTTAAATTTGAAAGAAAGTATAGTTAGCGAGAGAACATCTGAAAACCTTGGGATTTCTGCTGAAACTACGAATACTGGGAAAATGGATACTGCTGTAGATGACGTCAATGATGATGTGGAGATCGATCTTAATGCTCAGCCTACATTAATTGCCTGTAAGGATGATGTGGGGACAGACCATCGCACTATGGGTGGACGATGCATTTTTGAGCTGGTGCGTTCCAGTAGCCATATTATCCCTGAAGATAAAACCACCGATATTTTAGACTCAGACATTGAAAGTAAAGGAGAAGTACCAAAAAAGACCGAAGAAACGGCCGATTTAATATTATCAAGTATCGTGGATTTTAATCCTAAAAACAAAGGGAAACTGACGGATAAAAACAGACACTCGGCAGAATATATTTCACGGGCTTTTAAGCCATATCGAGAGCAGCTTCGTTTTGAAAATTTCAAGGACTTGGTTTCAGCTGAAGTGATGAGTTTTGGAATTAACCAAAGTATATTTTCAAAAGCTGTACTCAAAAGGTCCCAAGGCTATTTATCAGATTTACTGAACCGTCAGGAAGCAATAATGAGCATGGAGGAGCCGAGTAGAATGTTCACTAATTTTATGAAAATAAAAAGTTTTTTGGACCTCGATGAGGCAGAACGACGTGTGCGCTATTACGAGTGCGTGAAAGAAGCCGAGGCTGAACAGAATCAAAATGACAAATATTCCTTATCAAAAGTTAATCGTCGAAAAAAAAGAATGTCATTTTCTAAAGGCGTTAAAGATAGTTTAAAAGCTTTATTTAAAGACAGAATGTCAATGCCTGATGTTGATGAGCTGACGGAAATTTCAGAAAAGTTTGGATTAGAATTGGCAACTGTCAAGAACTTTTTTAGAAATTTCAAAGCTCGTTCGAAAATTTCCGAAACGTTATAGATGTAATTTTAGGCTATAGAAGTAGAATAAAACCTAGTTGTCAAGAATTCGCCAGCTACGATCTCAGTCAAGAGTCCTTTGATGGCCGTATAACTGAAGCTCTATAGAAAATGTAGCAGTATTTACCCAAAGTAACAGAAAGTGCAACCCTCTCCATAATCTAAAACTGATCATTCTCCCAATTGTCAACGAACAATAGGGTCTCCGAAAATGACAAAAGAGTGCTGTTCTCTTCCTCCTGTTGTCTTCACAAAAAAGCTAAAAAAAATATCATACTTGAGTACTTTCCCCTCGACAATCCTCAGACGATAAAATAAAATCACCAAGGTACTTATATTTAGCTTATAATAAGTCATTATCGAATATTTTATGCTCTTCTCAGGATTGTCGAACAAAGAGTGCTTCGTGCAACCCCCAAACTTTGTTGTACCAATGGCTTATTTGCTCTTTGTTTTTATCGGCCTTCTTCGGCCCTGTGGCCGAGAAATTTCTCTCAACACGGCCCTTCTCCCCCAAAAAACAATCTTGGCTACTATTTTACGAGTTTTGTATCGAAATAGAAGGCAACAAAGGCGCTAAAAATCGCATAACAAGCAGTGTATGGAGTAAAAAAGGGAATTCTTTTGAAAATGTTCAAAATCAAAACCAGATTTTTAACAGGTATTGTAACGTAGAAGTTCTAAAACGTCCGAGAAAGGTTAGACTTATTTATTAAAGCATAGAATCTATTTATTTATTTGTATGTTGTTCACAAATGGCAGTATTAAAAGCAAGATAATAACACCAAAAAATAGACAAACTTCTTTTTCCGAATGCCCATTCAATGCATTGAAAAATCAGAGCTATAGATAATATAGAGAGATATTAAGACCTATTTATCAATTCCTCGCTATTAGATTTCAATTTTACAATTAACTGTTGCAGCAATTAGTCATTGAAGATAATTTAGGCAACTTTAGTTAATGCTGTCAAAAAGGAAACATGAAAATTTAGAGAATTAAGTTGAGAAATATCAAGAAAAATATCGTCCTCTTAAAAGTTCACAAATAAGACGATAGGGAGAATAGCATAACAATTTGTATTATAAAGAAAAGCGTTGAAACAAAAATTAAATATAGTTAACTTTTAAAATTCTTTAGTCTCAGTGAATCCACAAAATATATAAAAAAGGATGTTTTTACCGTAATGAAGGGTTTTTTCAGTTTAAGCAATTTCACATTGCCTGGTAAACATTTAACCATACTTTTAACGTAAAATCCATGTTAAATAAGACATTTACGAGACGTTAAACTACTCAGATTCAATGTTTCCGCCTGTTTTTAGAGTGCTACTCCCACAAGGAAATATTGTATGGTATCTACCCTAAAACTCTGAATTTATGCTGTGGTTTGTTGATAAAGCTGAAATCGAAACTTTCTCAAAAATCTCTAAGTCTTAGTTTCGTTAATAAATACGTTTATATATAAAGCATGTTTAAACCTACATATGCTCTTGCAACCGAAGTTCACCGTCAACTGACGGTAGAGAGCTCATGCAAGTCCAAGGTTATGATGCAGATTATGAATCATATATTGATTAATTGATTGCCATATGAAATGAATGTCATATATTGATTATTTGTATTTGTTGTAAATAGAACTCAAATTTATCAGACGATTTGTAGAGAACGCTTTCTTATTTGCAATGGCCTATGCAATAGGTGAATGCAAATAGATTTTATTGTAGTGCTGACATAATTGCAATAGCATTGAAGCTTTGCTTTTCTGTCAACGCATTTTATTGAAGAAACAAATTGAATTCATAACATTCCCATTCAATGCTTTTTCGATAAAAATTCAACTGTTTTTTATTCCAATTCTTTTCCACCATCTTTCATTGTTTTGAAATCAACTGTAATGCCAAATTGATATTTCAAAAACTGCTCTATCTTAAAGATAGATATATTATATAGATATTATGCAAAATGTGTAAAACGCTTAAGCAATGTGCGGGTTTAAAGTATGAAAAATATAGTTTTATTGAGATTATCTTAAGGATTCGAACATTAACGTGTTTTTGTCGTCTCGTTTCTATCTACCAATTATGTTCTCCTTGATTATGGTTGCATGAAGCTGTACCATACAAAATGGCCTAGTGCCATATTTTTGACTATGTATTCGAGGGAAAATGAGGCTAGTCAATAGTTTGAAAAAGACAAACAATATTGGAGCGCTAGTTATCTATGATTCTTCAATAATTTAGTTTTATTTATATATTGTAGATATCTAAATTTTGTGATGTAAATTGGTCAAACGGTCTCTTCTCAGAGCTTTTGAGTATGGTTAGACCTATGTGTTGGTTCTTTTTAGACATTGGCAAGTTTTAGTTCTAGAGCTGGCTACACTACTATATTAGAAATATTGTAATCACAGGGGTAAAAGGGTCTGATAACGTAATTGGGAAACTATCTTAAATCTTTTTTTTCTTTTTCTAATTGCCGCCGTTTTCATCCACCCACCCCTCCCCCTTTTCACCCTCCACTCTTTCCAGCATATCATGACTGGCTTATGACAAACTTGATTTTTTCCTCCAGGTCTTTTGATGTCTATCTTGTGATGATAGAAATATTAATGGCTAACACTATTGCCATTGGTGTGTTGTTCCTTCTGAAATATAATGTTATGTTTTGTTTTTTAGATTACGGCACCAGTCCACCAATGAGTCAGTATGAAACGCATTATGTAACTGCTCATAAGGGACCCTGCACAGCAGCTGCCTTTTCTCACGATGGTAAGTACTCATTCAAATGGTCACGGCATTTCGGACTTGGAGAAATTCGCCTCCCTGGATTCACCAATAATTAACTTTCTTTGCATTTCTTGCAATCTACCTTATAAATCGAATTTATTTCATAGTTAGCAAGGCAGTGCATACGAAACATCACCGCTTTAGTTTAGTTTAGACTTTTGTGAGATTTGTTCTCAGTCACATTGCTTCTTCCTAGTTTCTTCCAAACTGTTGACAAATCCTACGTTTGTATATATATGCATCAAATGTACCATAGCCAATCCAAACAAACTTAATTAGCGAATAGTTAAGTAAAAGAAATAATATTCTCTAGTTTATAACACAAGAAATGCAATTCTCTTGAGCTTTTTATTTGTTTTACCCACACGAACCTCTGCCGTTAAATCAGCACGTGACTAGATTTCGTGGCGAAATAGCCTTTCAACGTTCTACCCTCTATTCCTTCGGCTCTTGGATATCTAAAACGTTGCCCATTTTTGAAGGTTTTAAAGTAATCTTTGATTCCATTCATAGGTCGATTGATAACAACAGGCTCCAACGATGCTTCTATCAAGGTAAGGCAGTATAAGCCTTATTTCCTCAGTGTTGAATCAACCCTGTTGATGCCCACATATAATCAACATGGGATCCTTCCAATGAAATTATCGTTATTGCTTTCTGACTCTCTTTAAAAAGATCGACGAGAGGCTTTAGGTGCGAGGATACTGATTCTGAAATAGGTCAATAGAGCTGTGGTTGTCCTGTCTTGAATTGTGGCACAACCTCTGATGTCTAACGACATTTTCGCTTTGTTGCATCTAAAACATAAAAATGTCTGCTTCTAAGTTAACTTACTTAAACCCCACTGTGTCATCCTTGTTTTTGTGTCATCCTTATTGACTATGCCAGAGCGTGAGGATGGCAGGTTTGCTCCTTTAGAGGAGCGCCCATCCTTGGCTGGCAATAAGTACCATGAAAAACACCAAAAGAGAATAGATCAAGGGGGTGAGAAGTAGTAAGTGCTAGAAAGGTACCCTCAAACAATCATTGCGTTGTGTTGAATGTATGTAGTTGTGGATTTTGAACCTGCAAAGAGTTAATCATAGGTCTGGAAATTGAATATAATCATCTGGAAATTTAGTAATGAAATACGTTGTAAATAGTACAAATATAGAAAACATCAGTTCAGATTCTTAAAAATAGCTGGAGCTGTTCATTGATACCGTTTTGAATTGTAACTACACTGGTACCGATGTTTGTTCATAGATTATCGATGTGGATAGAATGTTGGCAAAGGCTGCACAGAGTCAAGCGGAAAGACAAGCGGAGAAAGAAAGCGACGAAGGAGCAGGCATGAAGAACCACCCGGTCATGAGAACGATGTACGATCATGATTCGGTGAGCGCATGTGTCTTTCGTACCATCCCACACGTGTATATGTTTGCAAGTGTTGTTTGCAGTTTTGATGAAGTAGTTCCTGTTTTGATAACCATTGCAATTTGACACTGCTGTTATTGAAAAGCTCTCGTATCATTTAACCATTTGATTCTATAGTATCATGGGCAAGATGATAGTAACATCGTAATATGAACAAGAAATTGCCGAAGAGAAAAAAGTCATAGCAATACGTCAAACAAATTGGTTCCAATATTTGGTCTTTTCGGTTAAAGTCAGCTATATAGTCAACTCCTGACGATGGATACCTTTACACAACTGAATGTGATTTGTGTCCAGCAAGGGTCTGTTACATCGAGCCTGTACTTTAATGGATAATTAATGAATAAATTTTATTCTCAGTAGTGCCTTGATGACCTTTTATCGATGTGAAAAGGGTGCGTCATTTGTGCTGATATCATGCATTCAATTCTAGACGATCACTTTCTTGGAATTTCATCCTACCATTCCCATATTGGCATCTGGAAGCGAAGACAGGACGGTGAAATTGTTTGATTTTTCAAAATCGTCCGCTAAAAAAGCCTACAAAACGATTGAGGTAAAATTGATGTGTTTTACCTTTGTTTCCTTTGTTCCAAACAAACACAACTAGATAAAGATAACCAGCATTTTGCCCCGGTATGCGGGGTTTCAACGGAGCAAATATGTCTTAGTGCCCTCTGAATTTTTCTTCTTACATGACTGGTAAATAAAACAAGCCCAAAACAATTGTTCCTCTTTTTCATGGCAATCATGATGCGTGTTATCTGACTCATACCTCATTCATATCAAAGCTGGTACAAAAGCAAGTTGTGACTTCTTCCTAACAATCTGACTCTGATCCTGGTCCTTTCTATCAGACCTCTTGCGATGCTTAGTTTACTGAGTCAGTTCCAGAAACTGTTTTTTGGAAATAAATATGAATGAGTACGATGGATTAGTATCAGTTTTACAGAACAGTTCATAACAGAACAGGATAAATATTATCTATTTGAATAAAAAGTTTTTTTCGTTTTTATTCTAGCTGTTCTTTTCAAATATTGAAGCTCGAGAAAGGAAATAGCTTCAATTACCCATTTCCTTGAAGAATTACTTTTTTTTTAATGTTGAGTCTGAACTGAGAATGTTTGTGACAGATTAGACACTTACATCACATCATGTGTGTACGTTTTTTAGGAAGCTGAAACGATCCGTGGTATTTCCTTTCACCCGGCCGGGGATCACATACTTATAGCCACGGATAGTCCAACAGGTGAGGAAAACTACTCAAACTATGGAAATTGCATCCAAGGTGTTTTATAACCCCAATGTAGAATAATAGAGACGCTTTCTATCAAATATGAGTCTCTACTCATGACACTCACTAGCTGAGTATTTCAGAAACCGTTGATTTAACGTTTGAACATAAAGCCAAAAATTGAACATATCTTTGCCTTGGTACAGTAGAATCCCGTTATAACATACTCGGTTATTACATACTTTCGGATATAACGTACTGGTGTGCTTGGTCCCGGCAAAAGGTGTGCTTGGTTTTAGTCAATTTTTACTTACCCTCGTCACAATGTACTTCGCTTATAACGTACTTAATACACTGGTCCCTTAAAGTACGTTATAACCGGATTATACTGTAATAGGTATAAAAAATACAAAAGTTAGCCTTCTCTTTTCAAAAATAGACTTTTCATCAAGAGACAGGCTGCGAGAGGGAAGTTCAATCGAGGGATTCTAGTCGGACTGTCTTTGGTCTACTCTTGCAATTTGAAAACTCAAAATAACGTAAACATAATGATTTACAACAACAGACTAAGATATTTGATGAAGATGCTTCAATCTTTTTTGCTTCAAGGCAATGAGTCATGACTACATGGATTGGGTATACCCTAAGTGCCAAAATCCGCCGAGTCATGGCCTTATGACTGCGATGCTATTGGTTGACTTGAAACTAGTCACATGAACTCACCTCGTACTGATTGACAAAACAATTTCCATCAAAAGCAAGTTAGGCCTGGCTCAAACGTCGCACTTCTCATGTTCCGAACCTAACTCGAGAATTAAGTACATGAGGGGCGCGACGTTTGAATCAATTTGGTACGGCAGATTTAGTTAGGAGCGGCAGATTAGTTTGGATCGGCAGAGCTTGCCGAACTGCACGGCTCCAGCACGGCACGGTTTCAAGCGTCTAACTTGTCATGTACCAGACTCAATTCATAATTATATTTAATTTATTTTCCTTCCCAGAATTCATTTCTTTCTTGGAGAGCGCATGCGTTTCAAACGAATATTTGAGATTGCGCGCCTTAACCAAGATACTTCATGTAACAATCCTAAAACCCATTTGGCGCGACATAATTAAGTTCGACGTTTGAAACGGGAGTCGCGCTAAACATGCTCGAATGTCGCTCCAAACAGAGTTAGGTTCGGCACATGAGAAGTGCGACGTTTGAACCAGGCCTTATCAATAACGGATGCAAATATTACATTAAAAAAGCAGCGATCACGCTGAAACCAAATGACCCCCTATAGAGAAGGCCTATTTACCATGACTCAATGCCTTTCATGTTCTTTATACAAGGACTCGTACCAGGTTTATCAAAAAAAAATTTTTAGAAGATTGAGTACAGTAAACTGTATCTAGCCCATTAATTACCAACTGCAAGAGCTAGAATATCATCTTTCTCATTTTCCTGGGTATGAAATACTTAAATGAAGACTTCAAATCTTCGGTCAAATTGCTCTTACAGAAGAGCCCGGTAGTGTCCTTGCCATTCCTTCTCGCCGCATGTTTTCTTCATTGTAGTTACACCAATGACGTCATGTAGGGCTAAGAATGATTTATTCAAACAATATAGATTTTATCATCAAAACTGTTTTATTATCGTTTTTTGGGCACACTGTGAAACAGCTATTTGTAAGAATCAAATTGATTTTTCCAAAATAATAATTCGTCATTATAATGACTGGCTGAATTTCTTTTATATTATCTCACGATGGTTTGGTACCTTCGTAAATGAAAACAAATGAGACTTATCTTGAGAGGTTGGCTGTCAAAATCTTTAAAAATCAATTCAACTTCGACTGCTTTGTGCCCTGCTTATCCTATTAGGTGAACAGAACCTCTTGAAATCCTATGTCAAAATCATGACAGGCTATGTCATTTATTCCTCTAATACTCTTTGTTTATAACCGTTTTTAGTGCGTCTTTATGATCTGAAGACATTCCAATGCTATGTTTCAAACAACCCGAGGGATCAGCATACTGGTGCATTGACGTGTGTGAGTCTGTTTTGATATATCTGCTGCTAAAGTCGTTGAATAACTTAATTTCTGTACTATTGTATTGAGATCGTCCTGTTATTTCATCGTCTTTTGTCTTACTTCCATCATTCCTTTCTAATCTATAAAGGATAATCACCATTAAGGTTTTGTCC